CGCTGCTCCTTCTCAGAGATGTCATTCTAAAACAGACAGCAGGTAACCAGCAAGAAAAGGGCTAGACTGCAAGGAGCCTCCTAGCTGACCCTCCCCATCTCCGTCCCCTGCATTAGATGCTTCTTCAGTCAGAGTCTCTACTGTCACTCCCAGCTGCATTTATCCCATCTCAACCCGCATGAGAATTAAAGTTAAGCTAATGATCCTTGGCTTACTCCGAATCACCCACCCTTTCCTCCTTAGATCTCTCAGGACATCTCAAATCAAGCACCATAGGCCAGAAGAGTCCCAGGTTCAACTGATCTTCAACTTCAGGATGGAGTGACCTAGTCCCTCAATTTCACTATCAAATACAATCACACCTGGGCCCTTCTATGTTCAACACCAGTTATCACACATTCCTAATAATGTCAGCTAGTGGTTCTGCCAATCTGTCTCACCACAAAGACTATCCTAATCTCAGATACTCCTTCCTAATCCCTCTCAACGGCCAGAGTGGCTGAGGTGTCCCACACCCCATTGTCCCAGTGAAGTTTATGCCCTACTCACCACAAAGTCAGGGTCTGTATCCCAGTCATCACCCTGGGTCTCCACGGAAACAGACACATCATGCCCCACTACAGACTTCCACATCTGAGGGTGACAGACAATGGAAATAATTAGGAATGACAGAGGAATCAAGAGGAAGGATGATGAGAATGCTGAAGCAATCAAATGTTTCTCGCCATTCTTAGAAGGAAACAAGAGCTGAAACAAGCAGATAGAAGTTCTAGGGAGAGTTCTTAGAAGAGAAGGGAGTGGGAGTTATTTAAGATTTCAGAGTGGTCTGAGTCCACCCACATCTGGAGGGAAGCCCGTGCAGATGTAGGCAACACTGAGCAACCTCTGTCAACGTGCCGTGACCACTCACTGCATCTACAGCTTGTAGTACTTGACAACACCTTCTGCAGGATTGGGGTGGCATTTCCCTCAGATTTCTCCATGGTTTCCTTTCTAGTTGTCAGAACATAAATGAGTCCAGGGTGCCTGCTGTCTGTAATCTGCTTAGCTACATTGAAACTGTTTCACCTGTCTATGGGATACGGTCCTACATTCACTCTAAGACACACTCACAGAAGAGCTGTCTGGACAGTTGGCTGAAAGACCCACACTAGTTGATGCAAGGGGGAACATTGACGGGAATCTCAGTTTCCTAAGGGAGAAAACACCGAGGCTTTATGTTTTAGCACTCAAATGAAAACACTGTTCAACTGCATTTAAAGATATACATATTCAAACACCGCATGTAACAGATCCCCTTTTGGAACACATGTGGGATTTACCAACCAAGTAAGCAAGCGTTGCGGGAGTCTTTGGAGAAAACTAGTTTGGCAGGGGAGCAATCATTCCTCCACTGGATACCCGTGTTTTCCTGAGCCTTGCCAAGGGAGCGTGAGGAGGAACTGCCTAGTCACACTGTGGGCTTCTGAACAGTGGCGTGGCAAAGTAACAAGGGGCAGTGCCCATCTGCTCTGGTAGTCTGTGGGATTTCCTGGCTCCACTCTTACCTACTGGCTGGCAGGACCCTGCTCACACTTCTTTCTCAGGGACTTCCACCGCAGGGAGGCCGTTCTGGTGTTCATCACTGTTTCCCAGAGGAGACACTCTTCAGTTCCTATCTGCTGGACTCTGTCCATTTAGGCCCCAAGTCTCCACTGAAATGCACCTGGAAACTTCCACCCTTGTCTCTGTTTCCTAGCAACCCCCAGAAGATCATCCCTGGAGAATCTAAGGAGCGGAATTAAAGATCTGCTAAGGGGGAATTAAAGATCTGCTAGGGGCAGTTAGGGAAGTGGTGAGCTAACCAGGCCAAGGGTCACTTGAGCTGCTAAGAACATTGCCTTCCTTACTTAGCAATAGCTACTGATAGGGCTTAGCACAGGTAAAGATGACCTGTGAACCACATCCTATGGCCTCTCTTTGACATGACCTGGCTCTTGCGCTGTTCTGCAACAGAGTGAAACTGGAAAGGAGAAGTCAACTGTATTCATGGGCAATAAGGAAGCAGTGAGGTCCGATGGTCTCATCTTCTGTCCTATCCCCTGCCCCCAGGCCTCAGCCATCTCTCCCATCAACCTCACATACCCCTTTTTAAGATCAAAATAACTTAATATGCTCGTACTCTTGATAACTCATCAGTAAGGTTGCTAACTTGAAGCAGAAGGCTGGAGAATAACCCGGTGAAGGACAGAGAATGCCAGCACATCCAGTGCCTTAGGACTGTGTTGACTTATGACAATAGTCCACACACACCTCAGTAATGTAAGAGTAATGGGACCACAGCCAGTAGCGCAACACTGAGTATGTACCTCTTAACCAGATAGTAGACTAAGCCCTTCACAAATATTAAATACTTTGACAACTCGCTGATTCCTGTAATTTTGTTCCCCAATGTTAAATAATGAAGGGCTTAGCATAGCTGCTTGTCTCTGACACTCTGGGATTCCCACAAACACAGAGTTACCCCAACTGAATAATCATGCCTGCATTTGTCCCCTCAAAGCACTTGGCTCAGCACCAGTGTTCACGTGGGTTAATTCCTGTTCCCTTACATTTCCCAGGTGCCGTCCCCATAGACCGAACAACAGTCTTCATCTTCTGTGGGACTCCTTTAGCTTAGTGCCCTGAGAGACCGTACAGCAGTCTTCATCTTCTGTAGGACTCCTTTAGCTTAGTGCCCAGGGCTAACCGGCCCTTAGAGTGGGATGTGTAGATCCTCAATAGAAGCCAGGGTATACTTGGCTGGGCCCGCGGTCCTAGATGGCTGATCAATCACGTTCCTGAGTGCAGGCCATTTCCTTGTTCCTATCTTCCCATGCTCATTGTCAACCACTGCACGCAGACCTGATGGCCGTCACAAGTTCAGCACCAATTAGCAAACTAAGGGCTGTGTGGATTTCTATTCCACACTTCCCTGTGCCCCCAAGTCTCCTAGAGCTCTGAGTACCCACCTTCACTACTGTTTGTTCAAGCTCCCAGCTCCGGCTCTTCAAATCCACACCCGGCGGCCCCCACCAGCTGCTGCCACTTCAGGGCAAGAAACTGAGCAGCGGCTTTAGTTCCGTTTTCAGGTTTTCTGTCATTTCCTGCCACACTGTCCTCACAGCTACTTCCTGAAGTTTGAGTCAGTTCCTTAAGCTTTAGGTACTTAAAAGGGTTAAGTGTTTCTGTGTCTAGTATTTTGAAAAGTTTTTGCAAGTCATGGGATAGTTATAAAAGTGACCACATCTGAGCCACGTCCCTAAACAGTTAAGACTACTACAAGAATGTTGTAGAACTGTTCTGTGTCCTACGTAGGACAGTTGCATCTAGGATAGTAAAAGAATTCAGAACAAGCCAGAAGTGGATGTGGTAGCAAACATCTGTGATCCCAGTACTCAGGTGAAGCCTGGGCTACAACACTGTTTTAGAGGTCTAGTCTTGAGAGAGGAAAACAAAAACAACATTAGATGTGGGCTGGAGCAATCAAGAGAGGCTTCCTGGGAGATGTATGTGAATCTTGAAGGGCAAGCCTGTAAAACACCTCTTCATTACCTGTAGCACTTACACACAGAACTGATGTCAAAAGGATAACTCCTGAGAAAGGAAGGAGGAAGTCCTAGCTTGTTGGGAAACTGTGTGGAGCCTGAGCTCACTGACAGAACTCTGACTCCAGATGAATTCCTCCAAGAAGCAGGAGCTGTGAACTCTGACACACTCCGTGCTGTTAAGATCTGTGGCCCTTCCCTTCTATCTTCAAGTTGGACATGCTCAGGTGACTTGTTTGGGCCAATGAAATAGACCCTTTCTGAGGTGAAGGCCACTGAGAGTTTGGAGGCCTTTACAGTTGGCTGCTTTACAAATAATCCCCCAGGGGGACTCCTCTGGCAGCCTGAGGCCCTCAGTGACAAAGAGGATTCAAAGAAACTCCCAAGATCATCCTAAGACTTTGTTATAGAATCTGACCCAGGCTCTTCTTGGAATTGTGACCTGATTGCCCTAGAGATAATGAACCCAGAAAGGGTCCCAGATGGGTTTCTCCACTCTTGGACTGTAGAGAGCATTTCTACAGAAGAACAGAGTGTTTCTGCAGGAGGACAAAAAGCTCCTAAGGTCCCTTCCAAATGGACGCTAGACTCTGGACATTTCATTTGTTCTGTTAAAGCTGTTTTAAAGTAGAGACAATGTAGAAAGGGGAAATCTTCTAGCTAACCTGGAATTCTAATTCAATGTCAGAATTAGAGTATCAGAGCAGACATTCTAACACATCATATGGCAATGCAGTTCTCTGGAGAAACTGTAGAACTTTAGAGATGAGACCGAGAAAACTCATTTCCCCTTTACAGATACCCCACGTTCGTCCCCTGAGTGGAGTGTAGCACGCAGGAATAACTTTGAAACCAGAGAGTTCGGGTTCGAAATCCACTTGTTCAATGAGATAGCCGGCCAGCTTTTCCCAAGCAGCAACTTCAAACAAATGCGTAATTATACCCACCCTACCTGCATGAGCTACGAAACCCCCACACTGTGTGTCCTAGGAGACTGATTTGCTGTTGCGCTCTGTTCTCCTGAGAACAGGCTATCTTCAACTTACTGTACGGACAAGACTGACCCCGAACTTACGATCTCCTGTCTCAGTCTTCTGAGTGCTGGAGTTATAGGCAAGTGCCCAACGTTTTCCAGTGTTCTCTCAGAACTATACACAAGGCTTCAGGACTTCACCCCGGCACTCTGCTCCTTTAACTCAGTCTCCGGATGGCTTTCTTCACCTTGGCTCCAGCAGCTGAGGCTAGAAGGATGCTCACAGCTCTCTGATGCTGGTCAGTGAGAAGGGAGGATTTTCAGGACTCTAGTACTCCGGGAACTATCCCTCCACCTCTCCAGAGTGCAAACACAGGTACGTAACAACTGTGCCGACAGACGGCCTCACACAAATCTCCATTCCGAAAATAACATTTTATTATTTTACAATAGTTCGGGAAAGTCCTTGGGATGTTGTGACTAAAATGTAATCACCATAGACGGTAGAGCTGATCAGTGAACCACCAGTCCTCTCCCTTCTTCAGGTGATGAGCACAGAAGGGAAGACATCATGTCCACAATGAGAAAGCCGGCAGTTAGCAAGGGGAGGACAGGCACAGTGGTGTCACTCGTGACCAATGCTCTCAGGTCTGGATCAGGTGTTTTGTCTTCTCTTCCCATTGCCTCAGCCCTGTTCACAAAGGCAGGTGACAATGGCGTTGAAGACAGAATAACTCATACCGCGTGCTGTAGCTCAGGGGTTCTCGGGACTAGAAGTTGTGATGCTCCGGCTCCCAAGTGGCTTCAGGACCCCTATGGAGGGATGCACTAGGCCTTGCGTTCTAACCTGTCCTCACAGCCACCTCTGTTGTTATGGAAACTTTCCAAGGAGATGCAGATGGGTTGGAAGTGGGAATACTGTTCTAAAAACTACAAATCTGACATTAGAGATGAAGGAATTACAAGTTCTGAGAGCTGTGGTGGAGTGAGGAGTTTATAGATGACCTGTGAAACACAGGATGAGGAGGACATGAACCATCAGGAAGTAGATGGTTGCAAGTAGTGGCACTCGGGTCCGGAAATGGCAGAGTGAATGCAGACCCGCTTCCATCCACTCCGGGTCTGAAACAAACAAAACAACAACAAGATGAGGAAGTCAGCTCCACCTGAAGACACTTTCTCTTCACCAGTAATTCTGCATCTCAGCCCATTGATCCCATCCTCACAGCAGAAGGGCATCCCGGGAGAAAGTTTCCTCAGTGGCTGACCACCAATAACACTGCCCATCTCCGTACCTCAGCCCGTTCCCACAGCGGAGCTCTCCCTGTGTCCTTCCCTCTTACGCTTCGGCAGCTGCTGCCAGGATGTCTATCCACACTGACGTCTCCTGAGAGCCACGGGCACCAATGATAGGAGTCCAGGCCGAATCCCATTCACTCGGCTCCAGCCTGTGTTGAGAGAAAGATACAACACGGTGACTGCTGCATGAGAATCTTCCCAGTTGGTCTGGTCTAGATAGGTCTATACCGATCTGAACCACTTGAGACCAGTCTAAACCGGTCTGTTCTGGTCTGGACCCATCTGAACTGGTCTGAACCAGTCTAAACTGGTCTGGTCGGGTCTGAGCTGGTCAAGACTCGTTTGAACCGGTCGAGACAGGTTTGAACCGGTCTAAACTGGTTTGAGCAGGTCTGGACCCGTCTGATCCTGTCTGATCCGGTCTAAACTGGTCAGGACCAGTCTAAACCGGTTTGAACTGGCTGAGAGTGGTCTGATCCAGTCTAAACCAGTCGGGACTGGCCTGAACCGGTCTAAGCCGGTCGAGGCCAGTTTGAACCAGTCTAGACTTGTCTGAGCCAGTCTGAAACGGCTGGGACAGGTCTGATCTGGTCTAAACCATTTTGAACTGGTCGGGGCCAGTCTAAACTGGTTTGGACTGGCCCAAACTGGCTTGAACTGGTTGAGACCGGTCTGATCCAGTCTAAACCAGTCGGGACCAGCCTGAACCAGTCTAAGCCAGTAGAGACAGGTCTGAACTGGTTTGCACCAGTCTAGACTGGTTTGAGCAGGTCTGAACCAGTTAGAACTGGTCGAGACTGGTCTGTACTGGCTTAAACTGGTCTGGTCCCATCTAAACTGGTTTTGAGCCAGCCGGTCGAGACTGGTCTGGTCTAAACCAGTCTGGTCTGGTCTGAGCCAGTCTAAACCAGTCTGGTCCAGTCTAAACCAGTTGGAAACGGTCTGGTATTTGGCAGAGCTTTTTGCAGGGAGGAGGTGGTGGTAGATGAAGATTCTCAGCTGTGGGGGAGCACAGGGAGCACTATACCCAGAGCCACATGAGTTGATCTGGTAGTGTCACTCCCTTTTGGACAGCCTATAGAAAAGCACTGTGTCACTGACACAGCCTCGCAAGGAACTCCAGAAGGCAGTGACATGCACAGGAGTAATGCAGACCAGGGTTTGAAGCCATAAGGATCCATCCCCGGTCAGAAAAGCTGCAGATGCGAATTTCCAAGCCAGTGGGTCGCATCTGGAACAAACTCAGTGCGCATTATACGACAGGTTTGTTTGTGTTGTTGTTATGAGTCTTCTGAGCAGTTCAGCTTTGCTTCTGTGGAAGTAAAATCAGTGGCTCTCTGTTCCTGTGAGTTCTGTGGGCCAGAGCATCTGTCTGTGAAAGATGTGATTGCTGTAACTTACTCACTCCTTTAGGACTACTGAACACTTACACAATTTAACATGCAATTTCAGTGAATTAAAAAAAAAGTATTAACTGATGTGTAGGACTTGGCTATCCCTGGGATACTTTGTATCTCCTTTTTCCTTAGGAGATTTAAAATTGACTCACACACAAAAAATCCTTCTCAGCTTTGCCCTTTCCTGTCACAACTGTGATAGCATCCGCAGTACTCCAGTTTCAAAGGGATTAAACAGGCATCTGAGGGCTCATTTGAGAACTGCCTCATTATTTACATAAATTAAAAAAGATCTTTCCATGGGACATGGGAGAGGAACATTGTTGCCTCAGAAATGGCTTCTTCCAGCCAAGGTCATAGAACTTTCTGGCCTGGAACAGGAGGAAAAAGGGAATAAGGTGGTTGGGCAAATCATCTCAGGGCTGTGCAGTGAGCTTCAGTCATCCGTTGTGGGAACCGCAAAGGGTAGCTGGGTGCTGGGGAAGAGAGGTGAGAAAGAAAGCCCCTCCCCCCAGGGCCATGAAAAGATAGAACTGTAGGACCATGTCCACAGACGTCATCAGATGCTGTCTGTGTTAGGGTCTGTGCTCTGCAGACAAAGTCCAGCGGGATTCCAGCGTCTGGAGTAAGGAACTGAGCATTCACAGTAAAGAGGCTGATGGTACGTATGGTAGAGCCACTGCTCCAACCAGAGACAAAGCATTAAGTTTTGCAGTTGTATCCTGGTGTCTTAGTTTGGCTGGTGACTTCCCAGAGCTCAGCAGTTAAGAGCATTTGTTCTTACTGAGGACTCAGGTTCAGTTCCTAGCACCAGCACGGTGGCTCACCACCTCTGTAACTCCAGTACCAGAAGATCTGATGTCCTCTTCTGACCTCCAAGAGCATCAGGCACACACATGGTGTGCATGCATGCATGCAAGCACAATACTCACATGAAATTTAAATACATATGTAAGTTTAAAAACAACTGACCAAAACCAACTTGGAGAGGAAATTTGGTTTACATGTCTCCATCACGGTCATTGAGGGAAAACCAGGATAGGAACTCAAGGCAGGAACTGAAGACTATGTAGAAACAGGGCTGCACATCAGAACCACTGGGGAATCCTGCAAAGGCTGGTGGCGGAATCCTGAACGTCTGCAGCTGCCTGTGAGCAGCCGCGTCTCTGTGGAGCTCCTAGCTCAGCCTGAGAAACACTGCCCAGACCTAGCGGTGTGCAGCGTTGGTTTCCAGGTGTCCAGCACACCGTCCTCAGCAGCTGTTGAAATGGATATGAGTGTGCACATCTCAAAAGTAAACTTTCATCTCACTTAAAGTGTAGATTTACATTGTAGGGTCTGAGTGGGAACCGGCTACGCTTCTAACAAGCTCCTTGGGCTGCTATCCCCATTTGAGAGCAGCAAAGGCCTAGACCAGTGTGGTTCCCAACCTGGGAGTCATGACCCCTTCCATGAGTCATGATATGGGGTTGCATATCAGATATTTATATTGCGATTCATGACTAACAAAATTACAGTTATGAAGTACCAACAAAAATAATTTTATGGTTGGGGGTCACCACAACATAAGGAACTGTATTAAAGGGTCTCAGCATTGGGAAGGTTGAGAACTACTGTCTTAGACTAACAAAACGTGTTCCACCATTTGTAATTTTCTCCTTGCTACCGAGACACACTCGTCATATCGGTATGTCTTTATTCTAGCCTAAATTGAGTGCGTCTCCTGTGCCCAGTCTTTTATTTTCCTCTCCCAGTTCAGCATTGCGGCATGTAAGATAACTTCAAATTCTCTGTAACTACTTTCATATGAAATATCAATACATAGCATCTTACGTAAGTATCAGGTAAAGACAATATGCTATGAGTTGTTGTTTGTTTGTTTGAGACAGGGTTTTTCTTTATAGCCCTGACTGTTCTGGAACTTGCTCTGGAGACCAGGCTGGCCTCTAATTCAGAAATCTGCCTCCCAAGTACTGTGATTAACTGTGTGCCCATGACTGCCTGGATCCTCACTTCCCACCCCAACCCCCACCCAGCCAGTAATACTTGTTGTGAGTCTGTAAACAGACTGTGTCAGCTGTCTAGGACATTGTAGAAGCATCCATCCTCAGGTCCACCCAGATCTACGTTATGAGAAACTTGGCAGAGGGATCCAGCAGTTTTGTTTTTGGTTTTTTGAGGCAGGGTTTTTCTGTGTAGCCCTGGCTGTCCTAGAACTCTCTTTGTAGACCAGGCTGACCTTGAACTCACAGAGATTCACCTGTGAATTAAAGCCCCCACACCTGTTGAGAACCTCTACTAGAAATAACCAGCAATGTGCTCATCAGAGCCTTCTGGGCAACCATGAGGCTTCATTGGACTTCCTGCTAGGGTTCTGGGGACTGAGCTCTGGTCAGCCAGGGACCGACAAGGCTTCTCGTGCACCGACAGGGTTAAAGGGCTGTTTTTCTTTTGTTTTGTGTGTTTGTAATTTTGATCCACCAGAGAACGGAAAATTTCTGTCCTGGATATCTGGGGCAATGCGTTTTATCTCTTAGGGACCAAAAAGGAAAGTCTTAATGAAACTTGGCTTCTTTGTGCTCTTATTTTGATTATAAAATCAAAACAGTAGCTCACAACTGTCTTCAGTAGTAGTGACATTTAAAAATTGTTTTTACACTAGTCTGTTACATTTCTAATGTGTATAATTGATAATATGTGCGTGTGTGTTCATCAGCATTTATCCTTTGGAGAAGTAGAAGTTACTGTCATAGTGTGAAGTAGCAGTGAGGAAAGTCGGGGAGATGTTTCTGATCTAGGTCTTCAAACCACAGCCCCACTTTTGTCCGGGGTACCTCTCTGGTCTCATAGTCTCTCCCATCGTTTACCCCCTTCTGCTTTCTCTGGCCCCTTCGTGGTCCCTGAAGCTACAAGTTACATTCTCAAAGAGATTTTCCTGACTAAAGTATCACACACTCATTTCAGACACATACATGTCGTGTCCCAGGGTCCTCTTTCATTTATATTTTTCCTTTCTGGCATTACCTTAGTCAGAGTGAGCAAAGAGGTGAAAGCAATCGCATCTCCTTGGACGTGGTCACACCTGCCACCCTAGAGCATTTGTTCAAGAAAACGGAGTGAACTGTGGTAAGAGCCCTGAGACTTGCCAGCTTTGACTTGGTTCATCCCATTCTCCCATCAGCTTCACAGTAGCTTGGAACACCAGCAGCTGCAACCGCAGTTTTAGCAGGAGGAGGGGTTAGCGGCCTCCCACCCAGATCCCAGAGATTCTCTTGCCATTTGACCTGTGTAGCGGTTTGCAGGAAACAGAGTTTGTGTTTCGCCTGATTCTGAGCTGTGCTAACAGCTCTGTCTCTGGGACATTTACGAAAACTGCCCATGGTGCTTGTTGAGCATAGTGCAGAGGAGATAGCTGGGTAAACAGAAACATTTAGAAGGAAAAGCTAGGAAGGTGTCCGTTCTGACAAGCTCTGGCTGCTGCTGGGCTGGAACGCAGGAAGTACTCCATCAGGAAAGGCCAAGGAAGGTTCAGAGCTTTCCTCCCTTGCCTCATTTAGGTTCTGTGTAAGCAGGAATTGGCTTAGAGGGGAATTACCTGCCTCGGGGCGAGACTTACTCTATTACCTTAAAGCCTGGCTGCAGAGGCTCCCAGGGCTTGTCAGTGGGAGACCTCGTCTGATTTTTAGCTGATCACTAAGCTAAGCAGACGTTTCTGTGGTCAAAGACATGAAGAGTACAAGATAATACTACAAATAATTGTATGCCCAAAATTACTGAAATTGAGTAAAAAAATATTAAAAAAAAATCTGACCCAAGGTCAGGTGGTGGTGGCACACGCCTTTAATCCCAGCACTTGGGAAGCAGAGGCAGGTGGATCTCTGTGAGTTCAAGCCAGCCTGGTCTACAGAGCAAGTTCCAGGACAGACTCTGTAGCTACATAGAGAAATCCTGTCTCAAAAACCAAACCAAAGGTCCTGAGTTCAATTCCCAGCAACCACATGGTGGCTCACAACCATTTGTAATGGGGTCTGGCACCCTCTTCTGACCTGCAGGCATACACACAGACAGAATATTGTATACATAAAAAAAAAAAAACAAAAAAAAAACCCCACAAACCCAGAATGGAGAGCAGGGCGACTAAATACTGCCCACCTCAACCAGGTCCATATCAAGGCATTTCCTCTCTGCTGAAGAAGAGAGCGACCCACAGAGAAGTGTTCACTTGATGGAGATTCCCTGTTTGGGGAAGAAACATGAAGAGGAAAGGGGCTTTGCATGCTCCCCACTCCAGTTAAAACGTCTGCCCTGTGGGCAAATGAGTGACGAGACATGCCTTACCCTGTTGTTCTCAGAGGCCACTGAGTAATGGCAGTTTCTCCTTAGATGGAGAATTTCCAGAATGAAATAATAAGCACATCAGTAGACATCAGAGCAGAAGCTGCAGCAGCTGCAGCTCAGCCCATGCTAAGAGTCTGGCAGAATTTCTTGAGTTCTTTTGCCTATTATAAATTGAAAAAAATGTGGAGTGTGATGGTGCATACCTGTAATCCCAGCCCTGGGAAGTAGAGCCAGAAGAATCGTAAGTTCAAAACCAGTCTGGACTACATAGCAAGTCCCTTTCTCAAAAACAAACAAAAGACCAGGGTGGGGTGGAGAAGGAAGGGGAGAGAGAAATGAGTGAGTTTCTGAATGAAATGTGATGGGGGAGGGAAGAATATGACGCATAAGGGGCACTGGGGTCTAGGTCTGTTGATTGTTAGTCATGCTTCCATGGGTAAGACTCTAACCAGTATCCCAGCTGGAAGCACCCAAGCCAGCATCCTAGACTGGTCCAGACTAGACCAGAATGGTCTCCACCGGTTCAGACAGAGCAGAATGGTCCTCAACTGGCTCAGACCAGACCAGAACAGACCAGTTCAGACCGGCTTAGGCCAGTCCGGACTGGACCAGACCAGTCTCCACCGGTTCAGACTGGTTTAGACCGGTCCTGACCGGTCCAAGCTGGTTTAGACCAGTTCAGACCAGTCCCAACCAGTTTAGACTGGCTCAAACTGGTTCAAGCCAGTCCTGGCCAGCTTAGACTGGACCAGACCGGCTCAAACAGGTTCAGACCAGTCCCAACCCGTTTAGACTGGATCAAACCAGTTCCAACCGGATCGGACCAGTTCCATCCGGTTTAGACCAGATCAGACCAGCTTAGACCGGTTCAGACTGGCCCCGACCAGTTTAGACCGGCTCGAACCAGTTTAGACTGGTTCAGACTGGTCCTGACTGGTTTAGACTGGCTAAAACCGGTTTAGACCAGTTCAGACTGGTTTTAGACCAGTTCAGACTGGACCAGGCCAGTTTAGACCAGACTCGACTGGTTTAGGCCGGTTTAGAAACTCCACAGGTACCCTGCTTCTTGGTGATGGCTCTCAAGTTGCTCCAGGACCACAGCAAGAGGAGATAAGATCTTAACTCACCCTGAGCCTGATTGCAGAAATGTGCAGGAGCAAGGCCAGAAAGGGTGAGAAGTGAGCAGAAAGAGCTTCCCCACACCTTACCATCTGATCTGCTCCTCGGCCAAGAAGAGTGCATTCTCAATGGCCAATCTTTGGTCTCGCTCTTCTAGCAGCTTCTGTAACTCACTCCTTGTTTCATTCTGCAGAGCTGCTGCTGGACTTCAGACAATCTGGAGGGTGAAAGGCAGGCAAAGGGCATCACTGGATGTAGTACACAATCTTGAATACATCGTCACATAGCTGGAAGCATTTCCCCAAATAGGAAAATTAACTAACATAGAAGTACAGCTACAGCACAATTACAGCGGAAAATACCTATGGGGAGATGCGAGCCCGTCGGAGCAGCTGTAATTCTAGCGTTTGTAGTGCTGTGTGTGTGCACTTGTGTTACAAGCACTGTTCACTTCTTGCACAACATCTGTTAGGTACTGTTGCATTCAATCTTTACATCACTCTGTGATGCTAGTCAGATACTAGGACTCACTAAGAGTATACGGTGAATTCTGCTCCACCAAGATTACAACCCAATTTCATTAAAATAGCATACACTGGCCATACACAACAATAGGTTTCATTATGACCTTTCCATACATGTAGATAAGATCTTTTTATCATATTCACCCATCACCCTCTCATGTCTACCACCCAATTTCTTTGCACACAGTGTAGGATGGAGGGCGAATCCTGCTCCTCTAACTTGGTCGTGGCTCCCTTGTGGCCTCCGGATCCCTCTTTCTCTTTCCATTCATTTCCTAGGGCACTCCTGGAACATCATCTACATTTGGTGGCCCCTAGAAGAAACAACAGTGGAGCAGTTGTGATGGAAGCTCTTCAGACACCTTGTGTGTGTGCAAACTGAGAGCCTTCCACTGTGTAGGGAAGTGACAGTCCCTAGCTATCCCTCTGAGCACTTCCTGCCACTGCCTTACCTCCTGCAGCTCCTGCACCTGCTTCTCCAGGACAGCGCAGTGCTTGGAGAGGTCACTGGAGTGATGCTGGTTCTTGCGGAGACTCTGGCTGGTGTCGCTGAGCTGGATGGAGAGGGTGTTCTTCTCCTCCAGCAGCTGAGAGAACTGCAGCAGGGGAGAGGATGAGTACCACCCCAGGACCACATCACTGGAAGCAGTGCTTAGGCAACTGGCCTGAACTTGCAGGACCTGATTTGCAATATAGAACCTATCTTAGAATCCTACCACAGTATGCTTCTTCAAAGGGAAAAATACCTAAATGTTTCAGCCATGAAAGGAAACTAATTCTGGAAGAATAGCAGGAAACTGGTTTATTTTTACTGGTTCCAAGGTCTATGAACTGAACAACGATTAAACAGAACCCCCTAACAAAAATTCCAGTAGAACAGGCTATTCCAGGAATGTCAGCAGAGAGCAGAAGGTCGGGTCTATGCTTAAATTACTAATAAATAACAAGCCCTAGAACTCAGTATGGACAGAGAGCAAGCTCACACTTAAAAATGTGTGTAATAGTATTACTGGGTGGACATGTTTCCAAGAGAGCAGACAGAAGTCATATGTGTCTATGTGGACTTGAGAAGCGGAAGTGGGCCCAGATGCTCACCAAGTGGAAACAGTCCAGTCCCAACGCCAACCTTTCCTCTAGGTCCTGAGGAACAGGCAATGGTCGGATCTGTCCCTGCACAAGTTCAGTGTCAGGGACAAAGCGATCTAAGCCTTTGGTTTCTAAACCAGGAAAACCTTTTTACAATGAGTGAAAACATTTAGCTGCTGTAGCTTCTACCAGCTGACTGGGACTGGACTCCTCTGGAACCAGAATTGGGATTCCTCACTTGTGAACTGTCATTTTAAACTTTAGTCATGATTAACACCCAGATACATTGGTAGCCATGGAAACGTCCTCCTGAGTACCCACCACGGAGACACGGAGACACGAGAAGGCCTGGGTCACAGGGAATGGATGGAGTTTGCTAGGAGTCTTGTGTTCCCTTGAAGATTCTTTTCTAAGAGCTTGTGTAGGAAAGTTCATCAATGCTTCAGAGAAAACAATTTTCTAGAGACATCTGGGAAAACGCATTGGATGCACATAGATACCACACATGATCACAACGTGCTCCGTAACTGAACATGGCTCCAGGTGACTGTGTGTGGTTGTGACTCTGAAGATCAAGTTTCAGTTTACAAAAGATTTGGACATTGTTCATTGAAAGAAGCAGAGAAAGGACCTCCCTCCTTTTTTACAAATGGAAAAAAGAAATAAGCTTACACTACTCAAGGCCATGGCACCAGCAACCCCAGAGCAAGACTCACAGGTATGGGTCTCAAGTGTTGAGTCCCACCTGCTTTATGATGTGGCCCAATCTGGGGAGGCGTGGGTGTCGGGAGAAAGGTGTGACTGAAGAAAAGGGTGTGAATTTTTGGGAAGCTAAACTTGCTTGAGGGTGGCGGGCTGAGTACAATAGGAACTCCAGGGTGAGGACTAATACCATGCTCTGCTATCACAGGAAAAGCGTTCCTAGCTGGAATGAACAGCCCAGGGCACACCAAACACAAGCAAACACAAACAAAACAAATCTCCCCAGTGTTTAAAACTGTCTTCTCATTTTGTCTCTAGTAAATCTAGAAACAGAGGGCAGACCCATAAACTTGTTGGAAGCGAAGGCTTATGAACTACAAAGACAAATAGTCGATCACTAATCAGCCACTCGTAACCTGTCTTGGGTGTCTGCATTCTGTGTCGGTTTCTGGGGTTAGGAGCAGGCATAGGATCCAGGGGCGCGGCCCTCCCAGTGTCCATGGAGTCTCACTGGAGCAACCACTGCTCACAGGAACGGCCGCTGTGGGGCTGCCACCACAGAGATGTGCAGTGCACAGACCACTTAGGCTCCTCAGCTTCTGCCTCTACTTTACTCACAGGCTAACTGAATTCAGTCCACTAAGGCTAGACTAACACTACACCATTGGACTCTCAGCAGGCTAATGACAGTCACTTGTTAACTAGTGGATGAGCAGGCTAGGGAGGTGCCTTCCGCACAGCCAGGTTCTAAAGAGAACTATTTCTTATCCCGAGTGACAGTGGCCTCTAGCAGTATGTTCATACTGCAAACGGCACCACTTAGTTCTCAGGTAGGTGGCTGTGACTGGAAGAGGAATGGTGGACTTGTGGGGGTGTGGGACATTCTGGTTTTCTATCTTGACCACTTGTTATACAACTCTTTGTGAACATGTAGCCTGCTATGCCAATGATCTGTTACTTTTATGTGTTAACTGTTGTAGAATATTACTTTAAGGTGTGTGGCTTTTGTTTATGTTGCATTTGTTTAACTCTGTGAAGCTGTGATTCTTGGCCTGTCTAAAACACCTGATGGTCTAATAAAGAGCTGAATGGCCAATAGCAAGGCAGAAGAAAGGACAGGCGGGGCTGGCAGGCAGAGAGGATACACAGAAGGAGAAATCTGGAGGGAGGATCAAGAGAGAATAAGGAGAGGAGGATGGCAGAGGCCAGCATCCCCCCCCCCCAGCTACGCAGCAAGACACGGAATAAGAGCGAAAGTAAGGTATACGGAAGTAAGACAAGGAAAAAGCCCAGAGGCAAAGGTAGTCAGAATAATTTCAGTTAAAGAAAAGCTGGAGAGAAACAAGTCAAGATAAGGTTGGGCTTTTATAAGTAATAATAAGCCTCCATGTGTGTATTTATTTGGGAGCTGGGTGGTGGGCCCCCAAAAGAGCTAAGCATAAAAAGAGTAAAAGACAACCAATTACATTTTACTTCAATAAAACATTTAAAAATTTCAGCTCTTATCATCTACCAAAATAATTTATTTCATCACCTATAAACAGCTGTTTCGGTTTAAAATGCTGTCACAGGAGGAGAAGCCCCGACAGAGCCACAGACTAGCATTTAGAGAAAAACAAGAACTGAGCTGTGAGCGGAAGGAGTCACTGGGTCTTCACAGCCACAGAACAGAACCTCTGTAATAGGTCAGTGAGGGGAGACCCCTCCCCACCAAACAAAACTAAGCCACTTAGTTCATCAATTCATTTGGATCCAAAGCCATGGAGTCTCTGACGTTCTAGTGATGGTTGATTTATCATCTAATGAGTCCCTTCAATGTGTGGTAAACACACTAGTCACACACATGACCAATGACTTCAGAGTGACTGCAGCCTTGAGCAAGTGGGCTTTTCTCCTCATCTGGGAAAACCGTCTCCTGATTTTTATGGTTTTGAATCACAATGTTATTAGTATTTGTGTGTGTGCATGTGTGTAATACACATGCACGAGTGTAGGCATGTTCATTCTATAACATACATGTAGAGAACAGAGAAGAACGCTCAGGAACTGATTTCATCTTTCCTCTGTGGGATCCAGAGATGAAACTGAAGTCATCAGGATTGCAAGACAAGCACTTTCACCCGTGAGCAGCCTCAATGCCCGTGTTCTGTGACTTCCTGTGACAAGATGTACGCACCCACCCCATACTGTGCAGACATTTGCGGGCATTCACAACTCTTCTCACAGACCCCTGGACTCACTATCCACTAATCTTATGAATGACGTCTAATTTTGGCAGACACTACCTATCTAGGTTTCTCTGAAGAGGGCAGGACTGGGAGGAGCCACTGAGAACACGTGGACCAGTCAGAGCAGCAGGAAGATAGTGACTGATGGAGATGCATGAGGAGATGCTGACACATTACTAACACGTGATAAGATGGGGTGAAGTTTCTGCATGGGTTTCCCCAAGTCACTCTCTCCAAGGGCCCGTGTCCTCTGCCATGGAATAAACACTTGCTCTTATAACTTCTGTTCCTAAGTTCTGCTGGAGCTGGTGCCTGTGCTGAATCTTACCTCCAAGAGGAGAAAAAAAAGGAACTGAATTTCAGTCTAGCACAAAACACGTACCTTGCTGTTCAGCTGCTGAATTCTTAATTACTTCTGGTGAATTTCCTTTAAGCTGGGCTCTGAGTTCTGTCTCATAAACTAGGTTTTGTGAGCCATCGATGGAGACTGATGTTTCTGGGGATGCCTGCCAGGAAACAAACATCCCTGACATTGTTTCCTAAGACGGTTCATACTTAACTCCTCCCCCTAGAAGAAATCATGTCCACCCCAGAAGAAGTTAGGAGGAGGCTTGCCTTATAGTTGCAGATGGGCGGTTAGTTATAGGAGGATGATGCTTTTTTTGGATCATGGCACCCTGAGTAGCAAACTCTATGGATCTCCTCACCTGTCTCTGGTACTGTGCGGAGAGACTCTGGGTTTGGGAGGAAGACCTCAGGAGACTCTGCAGATGACTGAGCTGCTCATCCGTACATGAAAGAACACACTGAGTGTGTGTAAATACCAACTGAGAAGGCCACACACATGCAAACTCTAATGAATGAGTAAACGTGGAAGTAAGGGAGAGAGGGAGGGGCAGGCAGGGAGGGGCCGACTGATGGGAGATCGCTACTGATTGTCTAGAAAGAGGCATTGACCATGGATAGCCGTTGGCTCGTAGTGATTTGTTAAGCTATAATAACGAGGTGACTCACTCCTACCTTCACGGCCTGTTCTGACTGCACCTGGTGAAGCTGGGCTTGCAAATGGAGTTCACGTTTATCTCTTCTACGTTATCTCTTCTTCTGTGGAATTCTTATCATGCTGAAAATTGCAATAGATTGAAGTCGCTTACTTAAGAGTTAGAATTAATATATATTTTATCTTTTACACTATTTGCCTTTTAGAGACATTTAATTACAGCTTCACTGAAGTGATAGCACTCAGGAGCCAGAAGCAGGAGGATCTCTCTTAGTTAGAAGCCATCCTGGTTTAGAGTCCCAGAACAGTCAGAACTACATAGAAAGCCTAACTTGTATCAAACAATAAAACCAATCAACCAACCACCACAACAAAATTAAACAACAACAACAGAATCAAGAAGAGAAAAACTAAAAAAAAAAAAAGGATGAATTTTGGGCTGGGAAGATAGCCAAGTTTAAGAAAGCTTGTTCTGCAACCGCGAGGACTAGGGTTTGGATCCTAGAACCCACAAACATCTGTTACTCCAGCTTTGAGGGATCTGACACACCCTCTTCTTGTCTCTGATACCCTTCTCTGTCTGTCGCTGTCGTCCATGCCCCCTGCCACACACATGCACGCTGTGCTAAGCACACCATGGCACACCATGGGTACAGGGCTGCTGTGACTGACAGCTGGAGCAGACTGGGACAGCTGGACATCATTTATTGAACAGGGAAAGGAAATGATGATGTAAGATGCTGGCATGTTTAAGGCCTGGGGGCTAAGTAGTAAGCCAGAGTGAAATGCAGAGTAGAAAATGGATAAATAAAAAAATCTAACAACACGACTCAAGGGAAGTCTGAAAGAATCAACATGAAAAGGCAAAGGTTAGTGCCTGCCACCACAGCCGGGGAAGAGAGTTGCCATAGGAACCATAGAGGAGGAAAAGAATTCAAACAATGAAATTACTTGCTTTTAAAACCAACTTTGAGATGCTAAACAACCCTATTCTATTCCCCTCCTTCTTGTGCCCATGCTGTAGGAGGGGCTAAACCTAGGGCCTTATCCACACTGCATAGGTGCTCTACTCCTGAGCCACATCCCCAGGGCAGACAAGGAACAGCAGTGTCCCTGAAAGGTAATAAGTAGGGCACTGGGAGGTAACAAGTGCCCTCAAAAACTCCCCTCAGAATGAACATTTCTGATAACGTAATAATAATACCAGGGGCAGGGGGAGTCGAGGCTGACTTACAACCGCTGTGAGCCACAGTGGCCCAGCAGCACCAGTGTTATCTGCACACATGACCCCAAAACCTGGCGGTCCCTGCTCTCTACATAGATACCGGAGCATGGCTCTGAACAGAAAGGCCAAGAGGACACCTGGAACAACACCACACTCCTCTAAAGACAGCTTTAGTCCCTCTGCATCCCGACTAGACACTGCTCTGTGGCAGCCACCATAAAACTTGCCAGCCTTCTTACACACCAGGGTGGACCAGGCAACTCAGCTCACAGTTCATAAAACATCAATGAACCATTATTCACTTACAGAAACAGAGAATATTCTTTATTAGTTAAGCAATAAAAGGATTTCAGAGCCGGGGAAAAACCTTAGAGATCACAGTTTTAATGTTCTAACCAATAATCAAACTCATCCACAAATTATAAGTTTCTCCTCTCTGTCTCACTCCAGGACTCATGTCTTCCTGTCAGCCCTTTGAGTTTCGCTTTTGCATGAAGTTTTATTTTTTTAATTTTGTTATCAGCAGCTTCACGCTCCTCCTGCCGTAGATCAATGAAGACAATAAACGAGTTTACCCAGCACACAACTTGCTCGCGGCAGGCAGCGCGTTACAGCACTTAGGAATAAGAAGCAGGGCTAACGCTCTGAGCGGACGATCTGTCTTTATCAAATGCTCAGCAAACAGCGAACAACAATACCTGCAGAGCTTCGTCCTTCTGCTGCAGCTGAGCATCCTTCTGGCTGATGACGTCTTTCAGCTCCACCACTAACTTCTCGGCTTCAGCCAGGCATTCCAGAGCATCACCTTGCGTGCTGTTATTCAATTCCATGCCAGATTCCTGGGGTAATTCCTGGGATTTGGACAGAAAGCAATAAAAATAATGCACAGGGGAAAGGCAGTGACTCCCCACAGGGACTGCTGCATCCTCACCTCAATCACTGGCCAACTCCTATCTTCTGAAACTGAGCCCTAACTAATCCCACAGCAGTTATCCTTGCCGTTATAATATAGTATTTTGTCTAAGTTAGAGGATTTGTTTTAAAACTTGATTTATTTCTCTTATATATGAGCACTGTGCATGTACACCTGCAGACCAGAAGGGGGCACCAGATCCTATTAGAGACGATTGTGAGTTTGCTGGAAATAGAAAACTCAGGACCTCTGGAAGAGCAGCTAGTGCTCTTAACTGCTGAGCCATCTCTGCAGCCCCAGAACTTTTATTATCCTAATTTTATCCAAGAGGAAAATAAAGGGAGGCCAGGATTCCATAGTAAAAAGTGGAGGGCTGGAGATGTGGCTCAGCTGGTGGAGCGAAGGCCACGCTTGCACAAGGCCTGGCTTCAGTTCCCGGTCCTGCATCAACTGTCATAGATGGTATCCCACACCTGGGACCCATCACTCAGAAGGCAGAGGCTGAGAGATCAGGAGCTCAAGGTCATCTTTGGCTAGCGACAGAGCAAGTTGGAGGCCAGCCTGGGATACCCAAGACCTTGTCTCAAACAAAACAAATTAAATTAAAATAAGTTATTTGAAAATTAAAATAAAACAAAAACCCTTAAGTATTTGGCTTGCCGCTTGTCTTTGAAAAAGTTAATGGACTTCTTTTGAATCCTTAAGGGTTGGAAAATACAATGCAAACTACAAGAAAGGCAGACAGATTTATAGAAATAAACAGAGGTTTTCAAACAAAAATGATGCTCCAGTCCCATATACTCTTTACACTTTCCCATGGAAAGTGTCCCTAGGAGGAGGAAGGGGAGGAGAAGGAGGAGGACGGGGAGGAGGAAGATGTTAACAATAACTTCTTAAGACAGTTTGGTACTAAACTGGCTAACCAGACAACAGAGACCCATCTTTCCTAGCTCATCTACACTTGGTTTCTGTCCCCACAGCTCTCAGACTAATAGTCCTTAGCAGAGGATCATTTACAGAGTGGCAGTGTTTTCTTAAACATCACTTCTAGTGCACGAGGGAGGCTACTCACATCCCTCTAGCCTAAGGTATTCTCCTCAGAAGAACACACAATGGAGGTCTTGTTATTCTGGATCTGGACAAAGTTATAGCTTCTAAGGGAGAAGTCATATTCTGGTCAGCATTATATCCGATAATTCACGTAAAACAACATTTGCTAATCCTGATCATCGGCTCAGCATCTCTGAGAATGAAATAGAAAAGAAAATGCAAAGATCAGTAAAAACAGATACAGGCTGCTGGAGAGTAAGTAAAGCAGACAGGTGCAGCTAGACATTAGTACCCATATCATCTATGTGAGAAGAGGGACTGTCACTGGATTCAGTGTGCAGCCAGCTGTGTGCATGGTGTAGCCACACCCTGTTCTGCTCGGGAGCCATATTGTAAGCACCATCACTAGGGTCAGCTTGAAAAATAAAATGCAAGAACACAATCTTTAAATACAAGGACGTCATTGTCAAGGATGTCTTAAGGGCTGTCTTTAATGCCTTATTTTTTTTTATTGAAAAACAAAAATCTTAAGTTTTCCTTCTCCCAGATTGATCCTTTTCTGATTTTCGATGAAACCCCAGACTCAACAAAATTTCCCTTTTCATGTGTTCCCCGAACCCTGTCTTTTCATGCAGTTCTCCTGACAAACCATGTGGTGTCAGTGGAGAGTCACTATTCAATATGGCGTATAAACATTTATAGTAGTAAATGACTGCAATCAGTATCCTTCGCTTGTTAGGAGCAGAATTAAAAAAAAAAAAAAAGAAAAGAAAAGAAAAGGCAACCTAAGCAGAGAAAAGGAGATAAAGCTTAGAGCAGAAATCAGAGAATTAAACCCATGAAACAAAGGCTGCGCTCAGAAGAGCTTCCACCAAAGCTGAGGATTCAAGGCCTGTGCACCCGATGTAGTCCCTCTACCACTAATCCACACTCCCAGCCGTCCTGATCCAGGATCAAGGAAGTAAAAGCAGTGTTACGAATACACATCGCTTCAAGCCTGGCCTCCTGGAGGCAAGAGTTCTACCATTTGGGTATACTTCCAGCCCCTGAAACTTTTGAGTTATTTTCCATTTTTCTCCCTACCTATTCCAAACCGTTTCGCTTTTTCTAACAGAACATTTCCGGAACCTGACCCTTTACAGCCATTCCGACCATCCAAACCTTATTAACTCATGTTCTGGAAAGGACTCTACCCTGTTAGAAACTCATCCGCTGTCACCGTGCTCAAATCTGGAAAGCCGTCCTTTGTGTGCTTGGAGAACTTCCAACTATCTCCCAAAGCGAACGTGTTTATTATCCATTACTTCAAATGTCTGTCCCAGCCCCAAAACGGTCCTCTCTACAAAGACCAACTGCAGCGCTTTAAATAAACCAGGCAAATACTTTCTCCAGTCGCCTAGGGCTCACCCTCCTGTTGGCATCCCTGCGTTGGAGCGACAAACACACCCCCACACTGCCAATCCCAGGTTTTTTCCTCCAGAACTCCCTTCGAGGTTCCTTCTCCTGCGAACACCTCTGACTCCTGGATC